CAGCAACAGTTGTGCCAAAGTGTTTCCTATAAAGTCGCTTATAACCACTCGGGAGGCTGTGTTAGAAAAATTTTGACTTTAATTATAAGAGACTGATTTATAGTCATTTATAAGGTTATTAATTTTAAAATTACAAAAATATAAAACATAAAAATCCATTGTGGCAAGATCAATAAATCTTTCCACAACAGGCTTTAAATAAATCTCCATTCATCCGCTGTGACAAGATTTGACTGTATTTAGTGAAGCAGGAAACACAATGACAACCGAACGAATAAATTGAATCCGTTGTTATTTGTATTTCTTAAAAAAAATATGCATATTCAACGGATATTCGGTGAATAACTGATTATCCGGGTGTTTTAGCTTTATTGATTGACCAGGTGCTCAAACACCCGGATAATCAATGGATACAACCACTAAATATCTGAAATAATGATAGAGGGTAGGATTACGGTTAGGAACCATAGTAATAAAATAACATCTTCTTATACCAACGGTTTATTTTTTATTTTTATTAAACTGAACAAATATGTTATTGTATTTAATAAACATGAAAAAGAAAAGGAAAAAAAAAGTCAATAAACAAAAAAAAAAGAATTTATATTATAGTAATAGTAATTTAATGAATCCAATCAAATGTTTTAATTGTTTAATTCCTTTTTATTCGTTTCGTTTCTTATTTGTCTCAAATAAATTCACAAATAAATAATAATACTAAAAACACCCTTTTCTAAATTTTTTACCTTACTATTATTTCCGAATCAATTTCTGACAGTGGAGGCACGGAAACGGTTTCTGTTAATTCATTTAATAGAACAAATTCTCTTGCAACTGACGAAATTAGTACTAATTGTAATTTTATATGCCCACAGACCAAGAATTGGATGATGTAACTTTATATCAAAGGCGGTAAATACACTAAAGATATAACAAATGAAAACGATTGGAATTGTAATTGGAATTGGAGTTATGCATATTTATTGTCGGTGTTAGGAAAACAGATGAAATTTTTATAAGTCACGTTCATTATATGTTGGATTTTGTGCGATAATATGAGGAAACTTATTTAATATCCAAAATTATAGCAGACACGGTCAAACAAAATAAAATGTTAGAAGAACAAAATCTTATGCATTAGAAAAGCAATGAAATATCACACATTTTAGAACATTCATCATTAAATCTGAATGAACCTCTCTCTTTTACAAAAAAGTAGCCTTATGGCTTCATATCTATGTAGTTCTCGTGGAGGAGATCTAAAAAGACTTGAAGATTCTTGGACAACATTAAATAATGATAATAATAAGAGTATAACTGTATCGCTTCCCAGGAAAAAGAATCATGCTGGACATGGATAATAATAGACGGATTTGTCAAATACCAGCTGACGCTGACAGTGAATTTTGGCTTGTACATAATACATTGTAGAAACAGAATATCAGTACATTGTGGATGTCAAATAAAATTAACATTTCAAAAAGGAAGATGGTTTCAAATACAAACCTAGAAAAAATTTTACTTATAAATTCCTAAAAAAAATAAATGCTTAGCAATGTATCGTTTTTAATCCATTCAGGATCATCATTATCGCCAAAACTTTGAATTATGTAATGAAGAGGATGATATTAACAGGTAAAATTGGTTTTTTTTATAAAGCTTGGATAATTTGGGATAATTTTATAGTCTACTTTATTAGAAATTTATAAAAATAATAAAACCCTTTTAAAGAAGCTAATAGAAATTTTCATTCTAAGTTAGGAGCTAAATATCTTAATTGAAAAGGCCATTTAAAATCTCTTCTAAACAAAAGGTT